CGCCCGTGTCCGCCGAGGGGCCGGGCCGGAGCTGGGGGGAGGCAGTGGCCGCAGCGCCGTTGCCCCCGGCCCCTTCGGACTTGCCAAAATTGAAGAGCTTGCCGGGATTGAATGGCTTGGTGGGCGACTGGACCTTCTCGGTCCCTGTGTCCCGCTTAGTCTCCGGGGATTTCAGGAACTTGAAGCTGAGGAAGCCGGGGAGTTTGTTTTCGCTGCCAGTGGGGGACTGGGGGGACCTGGCGGTGGCCGTGCTGCCGGCCCCGGCCCCTCCAGAGAGGAACTTGCCCTGCAGAGGGATGATCTGCTTCAGCTTCATCACGTTGTTGGTGGCCAGGAGGGAGCTGGGTCGCTTGGGCTTGTCGGAGCCGTGCGAGGAACCCCCGGAGCCCTTCCCTTTGCTCTGGCTCTTCTCATGGGCCGGGTCCTGCCCGGCGACCTCGGGCTTGGCCTCGTCGCGGCTGGACTCACCAGCCCCGGGGACACTCTGGGGAGCCCATCAGCCCCGGGGACACTTTGGGGAACCCATCAGCCCCAGGGATGCCTCGGGGAGTCCACCAGCCCCGGGGACACTTTGGGGAGCCCATCAGCCCTGGGGATGCCTTGGGGAACCCATCAGCCCTGGGGACACTTTGGGGAGCCCATCAGCCCCAGGGATGCCTCGGGGAGCCAACCAGCCCTGGGGACACTCTGGGCAGCCCATCAGCCCCGGGGACACTTTGGGGAGCCCATCAGCCCTGGGGATGCCTTGGGGAACCCATCAGCCCTGGGGACACTTTGGGGAGCCCATCAGCCCCAGGGATGCCTCGGGGAGCCCACCAGCCCCAGGAACACTTTGGGGAGCCTGTCAGCCCTGGGGACACTTTGGGGAACCCATCAGCCCTGGGGACACCTTGGGGACCCCCCCAGCCCCGGGGATGGGGGGGTCCCAGCTCCATGCTTGGCCCCAAGGAGGGTCCCATCCTGGCATCACCCACCTTGAAGGCCTCGCGGCGCTGGTACTCCAGCTTGGCCATCTCCTCGGCCACCCAGGCGGGGATGTCGGGGATGGCCACTTGGATGATGTACTTCAGGAACAGAGCGAAGTGCTGCAGGGGGAACGTGGGTCTGGCTGAGCACCCCCACCCCAGCCCCTCCCAAAATGCACTCTGCAAGGGATGGGGGGGCAGAGAGACCCTACAATAACAGCCTGGGGGAGCCTGGGCATTGCCTGCAGGGAGCTGCCTGGGGTTGCAGCAGAGGGTTGAGGGCTGGGACCCCCATCCCTGGAGGGGAGGGTCTGCGGGAGCCCTTAGCTGGCTGAGCCAAGACAGCACCTT